CCAATCATCAAACTATCCAAAAGTGGGAAATTGTTTTCCATGGAATTGTCACCTTATCAAATAGGGCGTAAGAGATAATCCAAAACCAGCATCATCCCTTGGTGTTGGAATTTGTGGGGTCAATAAAATAACAAACTACGAAGAATTTCCAAACCAATTTGCTGTGTCAAAGGCAAAAATTGCAGAAACCCAAAAAATGCTTGCGTGAAGCCGTGGATAAGACTAAAATCAAGATTCAAGCTTCAAGAAATAGACAATCACTGTGTGTGTATACAAATTTCAAACATTCAATCTTCAAGAAATAGACAGTCACAGTGTCTGTGTATACAAAATTCAAACCAAAGTCATAGCCATTATTGATCTTTGCCTAACCCAACGTGGCTTTGAGCTCACTAAGAACTGCCACGGCTTCATCTTTCTCTTCGTCATCTTCTCTGTGTAAATTTCTCTCTCACACAGGCACATAGTAAATTGGACTTTTCTGGGCGATCTCTTGCAGGTAAAATATTGATAGTAAAAGCTTGATTACTTCTTTTCTTATGTGATCATATCTCTATTACATACGTACTATGAATTATGACGAAGAAAAAATTATTCTTCAATTAGTTTTCTGTTAAATTCTTTTTTTGGGTCTCTTGTAATTCTTGCACACCCCTCTCCGTCTCTTACCCCCACACACTGGAGAATTCTGAGTACTGGATAAAGTTTCCATCTGTGTGTAAATATGACTGCATATTTGTATTGTTGTATCCGCACATATCTATGCTTAACTTCAAAATTTAGTAAAGGAATCTCTGAGAATGTAAAATGCATATTCTGCTTTAATTTTTCTGGGTAAGCTCCTTGGTATACACTAATATTAGAAATCTGATCAATAATCTCTATAAGTGGGTCAAGATGTAGATCACTCCTATAAGTAAATGATTGAATTTACAATACACCAGAACTTGGGATAAAATATCTTGACTTCAGATGTTATGCCTCTATGGAATTTGACCTCAGTGCAAATAACTTTTTTCCTACCAAAATCTGAACGCGAGTTTGATAAGTCTGAGTTTTTTGAGTGACGCTGTAATGATGAATGAGATAATAGGTAATTCATNCTTTGAGCTCACTAAGAACTGCCACGGCTTCATCTTTCTCTTCGTCATCTTCTCTGTGTAAATTTCTCTCTCACACAGGCACATAGTAAATTGGACTTTTCTGGGCGATCTCTTGCAGGTAAAATATTGATAGTAAAAGCTTGATTACTTCTTTTCTTATGTGATCATATCTCTATTACATACGTACTATGAATTATGACGAAGAAAAAATTATTCTTCAATTAGTTTTCTGTTAAATTCTTTTTTTGGGTCTCTTGTAATTCTTGCACACCCCTCTCCGTCTCTTACCCCCACACACTGGAGAATTCTGAGTACTGGATAAAGTTTCCATCTGTGTGTAAATATGACTGCATATTTGTATTTTTGTATCCGCACATATCTATGCTTAACTTCAAAATTTAGTAAAGGAATCTCTGAGAATGTAAAATGCATATTCTGCTTTAATTTTTCTGGGTAAGCTCCTTGGTATACACTAATATTAGAAATCTGATCAATAATCTCTATAAGTGGGTCAAGATGTAGATCACTCCTATAAGTAAATGATTGAATTTACAATACACCAGAACTTGGGATAAAATATCTTGACTTCAGATGTTATGCCTCTATGGAATTTGACCTCAGTGCAAATAACTTTTTTCCTACCAAAATCTGAACGCGAGTTTGATAAGTCTGAGTTTTTTGAGTGACGCTGTAATGATGAATGAGATAATAGGTAATTCATGTACCTCGTGAAATCTTATCGTAGAACAAAGTGCTTGAATTTATTAAAAGTCTGGTAAATCAGATTTGCTTCATTAATATTGATACCGCTGTAGTTTTTGGAACTGGTAATTTTAACCCTCAATCTATCTATGATTTTATACACGTCTACTTATTGTTCTAGCTATTAATGAAACTCACCATTAAAGAACCATTTGACTAAACATTAGTGCGGACCATGGGTTTCCATAAAGAAAAGAACAGAAACAGAAGAATGGAAACGAGAATGAAGTATAAATCATTGTTCTTGTTTTGATGTTATTCTTTTCCCCAATTTCTGTAGTTTGTTTTTGAAGCAAAACAGTCTGATAATAGTTGGCCAAGCTGGTTTTCTATTGATAGAGTTCTTGAATTCATTATGTGGTTTTCTATCTTTCAATAAAACGAGGTTGTTGTACAGGAAGTTTTTCTGTTTACTCTTTACTATTTTTCTTCTGTTAACCGGTTAAGTTCCTTTTTTTTTTTTGTTTATACTAGGATAGAGGAGTCAGTATATTCATCAGTGCTTATATAGGCAGCAAAAACATTGGATGCAGGTACGAAGAAATGGGTTCCAATAGTGCCATATGCAGCATCCTTGTTTTCATTTTAATGGTGCTGAATTCTGTTCATCAATATTCTGCAATTGAAATTGAAGCAAGCCAGACAGCATTGCTTTTTGTTAATACTTCTGAAGCATCAGCAAAGGAGATACCAGAAAACTTGTTTGGCATATTTTTCGAGGTGAGATATGTAATTTATGATGAAATTCTACATCAACTTCATCTTCCATGTTATTATCTGTGCATTAGGATGTACTCGGTGTTTGTTTTGTTTAACTTTTAGCATGCAAGCAGACATAGGTATTTTCTTATGTAAATAATGGTTTGCATGATCCGTCACTTGATATGTTATAAGTAATTGGTTCCATAGATACTGTCCATGTGTGCATCATCATTGAATTTTAGAGTTTTAAGCTATATTATTATTAGAAAACATGTTCATAATTTTCTCTTTGTATATGTATGAGAAACACACGAAATGATATTATATGTGGGTTTGGAGATTGACATTCTTAGGTTTTCTGGGTTTACAATAATTGTTATGCTGAGTGAAACCTGTCCTTTGATATCTAAACAAGTGTTAATGTTTATC